CCGCTTCACATCTCAAAAAGCAAACAGCGGTGTTTCATTCATGAATGAAAGTGTGTTTTTGAACGAATCTAGTGAGTCAGTGATTCATGATTACCCATTCATAAAGACAGTCACTTGCTTCATTCCCGAATGAACAAGCAGTTCAAACGAATCAACTGAATGAATGATTCAGTGATAAAATCAGGGATTTGCCGCCACCTGCTGGCAGTTTCAGTTTCATTTTTAGGTATAATTGCAGTTATTTAAATCATTTAATATTTCTGTATTCAAAATTTTATAAAATTTTATTAAAACATTAATATCCACATGAATTTATGAATTTAATTGCACTCATGCCCCCTCTGAGCCTCATTGAATGTCTGAAAATGTACCTACAAGCCACTTTTGTGTTCTTTTCGTGCCACCTCTTTAGTACAAATTAATTTTTCATTAATACTAATTTCATGATTGGTAACTTATTTGTCTCATTCTACTTCTTATTATATTGTTTTAAATAGAAATTTAAAAAAAGCTTATAAACATAAATGTTTTAATTTTACAGATGAAAATTTTATTACAACTTTTGTTTAAAAGAATAATCACACAATACACTATTTTTTCAATTTTAATGGTAAACCTATTAAATAAAGAGTTTGCCAAAAAATAAAGAATTTAACTCTTTAAAATAAAGTTTACTGTGGGAGTACTACACTCAACCAACACCAGGGAAGGCCGTTTTTGTCAGAGCCCTTGTTATTCTTATTAATATTCATATATATTCATACAATATTAATTTTCATTTTTACACCAGACATATATATCGGTTCAAAATATCAGTTATCGGTCTACTTGATCTGTAATAATCGGTATCGGCCTTGAAAAACACGTATCGGTTGACCCCTATTAAAAACTGTTAGATCTGATTACTTTTCGCCTCTTTTAGAAGAAAATAAACTTAACCCCAAGTATTTATTCAATACAGTGGCTAAATTAACAAAAACATAAAGCACCAACAGGTGTTGACATTTCCCAACAGCACAGCAGTAATGACTTTATGAACTACTTTACTTCCAAGATCGATACTATTAGAGATAAAACTGTAACCATGCAGCCGTCAGCTACAGTATCGCATCAGATAGTGTGCTATAGATCATCTGAGGAACAATTCCACTCATTCTCTACTATAGGAGAGGAAGATTTGTATAAACTTGTTAAATCATCTAAACCAAA